GTGTGTGTGTGTGTGTGTGTGTGTGTGTGTGTGTGTGTGTGTGTGTGTTTGGCTGCAGCTCAAATGGATGGACAGTCCTGCTGGACTGGGAGCGGCGCTCGAGGCGGCCCACTGAGAGTTACTGACAGATGAGAGAATCTCCTGCAGCAGCTCCTCTCACCTGATACTCCAACGAGTTGTCCAGCGGCGGTGGCGGGAAGGAAGCAGGCGGTGATGGGTAACCGGTCGACTCTTCGGCAGGTGGCGGAGGGGGAGGGTAGTCCGCTGGGATGGAGAAACACACACCACAAAAAAAAAAAAAAAAACAGCTTAATAAATACTTCCCCTTTTGTCTACGGCCAAACTGTCACAACTGGAACAGGACAGACTCTGCACTGATAAATAAACACACAATGCAAGAGACACTTCTTTTTTTATGTAATGTTTCATTTGCAACAACTACTGGTGCAGGTGCACAGAACTAAAGTAAACAAAACAAATCAATGGACTTGGATGACCTCAGAACTTGTACAGATCCCATGATGCTCTGCTCAGACACACTTTAACACATGCAGATCGTTGTGGATAAAAGTACAAAATTCTGCAGAAAAATCCTGCAGGGAGACAAGTTTACCAGCTCATTTATCACAACCGGACAGAACTGGTTCCAATTAAAAGCAAACACTAAAACTAAATTCAGTTTCCTAAAAACACAAACTGCAGTATTCCTTGTAGGAATTACTGGATACTGTTTTTRATGCCACAGTTTGAAACAAAGATCATCGTATGTTGAGAAACGATGGAGTTGTAGCTGTTTTGATCTAATCTCTAATTCATGCTTCAAACTCAAAGCCCGTGGGCCAGATGTGACCCACAAAAGCTTTAAAGATGTATTAATGCCTTATAATGAGCTGTTTTAAAGCTAACATTGACCATAAACTACGTCTCCCATAATGCACGTCYATTATTTTACCAACAAAATGACAGAATCCCACCACTAGGTAAAGCTGCACGGGGTTCAAAAATGGCCAGCAAAAATCCCTGTGTAAAATCTCAATTTCGCTGCATTTTAGCCAGCAACTTTTGCTGCAGCCCAGTTGGACTGGGAAGTGGGGATTTCCCACTTACAAGCAGAAATTTTAAACTGAAACATCTCCCAAGTGGGAATTCTCTGTCAGAAAGTGGGAGAGTTCAGAATTTAAGATGGCAGCTACTCACCCCAACTCAACAGTGAGTAAAACTCTTACTTTTAATAGTATTTCTGTATTATTTATTTCACATTTAGTCAGTCGTACACGTAGTGTTTACAAGAGGACAGGCTAAACACTGTTTCTATGCAGGAAATACCAGGTCGAGCTCAGTTATTGTTTGTGAAGGCCCTGTCTTACTAACATTTTAGACAATTATACCAACTTATAAAAAGTTGGTCCAACACTAAAGTAGGGATGCACCGACATGAAAATTTCAGCCGATATCGATATCTGATTTAATTATTGCTGGTCTTTTTTATACTGTAAAACAACCAGACCTCTGACATGGCTCTCTACTTCAGTTATTGCTGGTTACGCAGCATCAATATCACTATCATGATCAAACAGATGCTGCTCAACCAACCATCTCCCCTCCCAAAAACAGAAACACAAAGCTAAAAAGCGAGAAATCAATATCAGACATTAATATCGGCCCAGCTTTACATATCGGGCTGATACAGATATTCTAAAAAAATGACCAATATCAGCTGATACCGATATCAATAACGATATATCGTGCATCCCTACATAAGATGTCTACACTGAAGATGGAATTAAAAGAAAATCTACTGGAAGCCTCTACACACTGTAATGCTAACAGCTGAATAGAAAATATAACCYATGAGTAAAATAGTCATAACAAAGTTTTAATAAGCCAGCATAAGTTGTCTAAAAGTCAGTGTGACAGGGTCTTTGGTGGTGCTCAGGAAAGTGACGGTTCATGTTTAGTTGAAGTTTACAACTGGCCCTTTGAGGGCCACCATGATGCTCACGTGGCCCTCAGTGAATGTGAGTTCAACTCCCCTGCTTCAATATATTGTCCTACACAATCTAAACATGATGTCCCTCTACCACATCAAACATTAGCTCAGTACCTGTAAATCTGCTTGAGTCATCATGGCTGATATCAATTAGCTGAGGTAGCCATCCTAAATTAGACCAGCTGTAGATGAGAATCCAATAATTACCTGACCAGTGGTTCAGGAGATATTTTAATAACAGACAGACACATAAAAACATTATGGCTCCACCTCCAACTTTCAGCAGTGGGCTACAAGACTCTTATTCCTGATTACTTAGCTTGAAGCCGTTTATTGAATTTATTTAGACACTAAAGTGCACCATCATCTTCGCAAAGCACTGAGAAATCACCAGTAAGGGCTCAATTAATTGATTCATCTTAATGTGCGAGAACCCGTTATCTGTCTGGAGCTGTAAAATCAAATCAGACYTTTTCAAAGAGGTCATGCATTTATTAGAGAGAGGAGGAGAGTGGAGGAGATAAAGCAGCGCAGCCTCGTTATCCCACGTCAATGGACTGACATACATAATTGCAGCAATTTGGTTAACTAAGAAGTACTAATCTGGAATAAGCAAGAGTGTGTTTTTCCCATCCTGTGAGATTGAAAATGTAAATGTCGTGTTCCAAGCGGGGAGACTAGGTGTACGCTCTGCCAGAGGAAACGAAACAAGCCAAATGTGCAGCTCTGAAGTCCCGCACTAATCCAAGGATTGCATCCTGCCACATGTTTCAGACAGGATAAGGAGTTTGGTGCCAAATTAAATTCTGGTTGGGCTCCTCTTGGCGCAGGACTTAGACGGAATCATTTGACCGTGTACTTCTAAGTACCAAACCAGACATGAGCTTCGCAAATTAAAAGGCTTTTTATGGGACGGAATGGGAATTTGTTCCAACGCGAGGGCTTTGATGAGCCCCGCTCAGAAATTCCATTTGCTGTCTGTGGCTTCTTCTTCTTCTTCTTCTTTTTATTTGTTTTGATTAGAATCTAATTGATGTCATCAGAGTAGTTTATCCTAGGCGGATGATCGAATTAATTAAGCGTGAGTTTTCAACGGCGTGGCTCGGACCGGATGAGTCTTTAGCATCGATGCAGCCGGAGAAAATGTCAGCGCTGAGATGAACTCTCCCGCTGGGCCCTGGCAAGCATCCAGGTGAATTCTTTCTCTAAATATATATTATATATTTTGACCTTGTGACTTCCAGTACACTCTGGAGCAGAGCTGCTCCTTTAAGGAGGAAACAGGAGACTTGGTTCCCGATAACAAGGCTTGTCCTGACCCCAACCAACCCTCCCTTCCTGCAAACATGCTTTCCACCAGAATATAAGTCACATGTAATTTATGGCTTACGGAGAATTAAAACTTCAAGTTTCATGTACATTTCTCTCAGACATGCTTTGGATTAATCATTTCATGGAAACATGAGTGTTGTAAATGTTTCACAGCTTCTTGTTTCACTGAAAAGGTCACAGATTTGTGGAGAACCAGAGTCAGAACTGAAACAGGGGTCAGGCATCTTTGTCTTGCCGGGTATTTAGGACTTAAATGCGCTCGGTGCCGGTGTCGTGTGAATTCCCAGCAGCCTCTTAAAGCACAGCCGTTTTCTCTTAAATGACCACACTCGACCTCGGAGTTGTTTGCTGGCAATTCAGGGTCAGCAGAGAAACGGTGGCTTAATAGAAGCCTCGTGTTTCAAATCAAGCAGGCTGCAATGTTCTGGCTCATTTCTGTAATCACACATTTTATAAAAGGCCTCCCTCCACTTCAAAACAGAGACGTGCGATACTGTCTCAGCACCGACACTGCAACAAATGGAAACATGCAAACGTCAAGACAAAAGCACTCAGTCACAATATGTTTGTTCACCTAAAACACATGTCAAGCACTGGGCCTGTGGGCCAAATGTGTCCTGCCTTGGCATTTTATGTGGCCTGTGAGCTCCAATGGTGTTTTTAATGTCTTTAACTCAGCATTGACCATAAACTACAGCTCCTGTAACGCAAGTTGATTAATTTACCAGCATTATGATAACAAAAATCACTTTGTAAAATTTACATTTTGCCTGATTTTCACTGGCTACTTTTGCTGCAGCCCAATTGGACTGGGAGGTAGGAATTTCCCACTTACAAGTCATAAATTTACACTGGAATGCATCTCCAGTGGGAATTCCCTGTCAGAAAGTGGGAGAGTCCAGATTTCAAGATGGCAGCTACTCACCACAACTCAGTGAGTAAAACTCTTAGCTTTACTTTTAATAGTATTTCTGTATTTATTTCACATTTAGTCAGTTGTACACATAGTACTTTTCAGTGTTTATAAGAGGACTTGTTAAACACCGTTTCTATGTAGGAAATACCAGGTAGAGCTCAGTTATTGTCAGCGGTGCTCATTCGCAGCGATGACACGATCAACGTGAGGTTTCGTGTTTTTAGTCAAAGTTAAACTCAAACTGTTGGAAGTTAATTACAGCTGGCTSTTTGAGGGCCACCATGATGCGCATGTGGCTCTCAGTGAAAATGAGTTTGACACCCCTGATGTAATACATGCAGCAGCTTTTTCCTTTTTCAATCAGAAAGTGCTAAACTTTAACAGTGTTGAGCTTTTTCCTCCCACCATTCATCCCAAACTCTAGCAAAGATGGCAGCATGGGAGCTGAAAACCGTCTCGTTGTTGATGAGGAAGTCATGATGACCGTCATTGTGTAGGAAACAAAGAAGAGCTGCTTCTGTTTGGTATCAAAAAAGGCACAAGAAACTGTTTTATTTTATGTGTTAGCTTTGAGGTTGTGTTTATAGACCGTGAACAACTCAGTCCAGCACCACCAATTCAAATCAAAAGAGAAGAAATTTAGCAGTTTTATCTTTATCTGACCTCAACTTTAACTTCAAATTATAATGTATCACGTAACCTTAAAAAAAAACAGTGCTGAAAATAGACAGCACAAATCTTTTTAATTTTGGGTTTTGTTTTGCTAATTATTCTCACATTGTTTTACTTCAGTTACACGTTAGAGGTGTCTGACCTCAGCTGGCTGAAATAAAGCTGAAAACCTAGACAGGCATACATGACATACAAAACGTATGGAAAAAATAATCTTGTATCTGTTCTAGAGAACTTTTAGAACAACCTCAATTCAGAGAAACAGTTCATCAGTTTTGTTGGCTGTGAATTCTGTTTTACCAAACTGAGGCTAACTTTTAAAAAATAAAAGACAGACACACGGGCTGCTGTCTG